GACTCAAGGTCATGTAAACACGATTTTACCCACAATTTGAAAAGCTCTTGTGCAGCATTCAGTCGTTTGCCCAGAGAAATATTTATATCAATCGAAAGCATGTTTATCATTTATTCAACATGCTAAAGCATAATCAATTTAATGGTTTATCACATGGTGAAAATTAATTTTCTTTGCGACATACTTTTAGCGAGCTGAAATTTATACCTTGGGAATAAAATTCTTTCTGATCTTACAATTAAAACAAACTTGCTCAAAATCACTTAAACGTATGTTTAAACACCAAACTACAAGATGATAGGACAATTTAGCCTTTTATACTTATTTTCGTTGTATACGAGGCGATCAAATATGGTATAGATATCGCTTCGTAAAACGAAGATTTCAGCAGCTTAGCCTAAAATTGCGATTTCTCAAATACTAAAATATATTTCTCGAAAAAACTTTTCACAGCTTTTTATCATATCATAGACTATGTTGAGGCAAAGTTTGAGCGAAATCGAATTTTTCACTTTTGCCGCGATTTTATCGCTTTTCCCGACACGGGCTCTTAATAACTTCTTTAGCTGAAGGCTCGGTCAGTCGATCACAATGCCAATGGCAATGTATACTGTAAACAAAATCCCAAGTAAATAAAAGTTCACAGCCGTAAAGTTTGAAATATTTATTACAACAGTGCAATTTCATAGTTTGTACCTTTATATAGTTATAGCTTATAAATCTAGTTCCTGCAAGTCTAGTTCTTCAACGCTTCGATTGTTGACATGTTAATATTGGAGTTTCCATGGACTTTAAATAAGGCATATGTCATATATATCAAGAATAACAGCATGAATTCACGCCCAGATGACAGAAGAATATTAACATTAGTCAATTCAACAAAAACAAGTAGCAAAAAATCGTAAACGACAACGAAATATCACAACTTGCAAGAAATCGACTTTCTTGCAAGAAATCGACCAAGAACTGCCAGGCGTCTCGCTGTTCAAGTGCTCTCTTCCCATCAGCCCCTTCGCCCATCTCTCCCCACTACAATACTTCATATAAGCTCGTCATATGCGCATCACTGCTTTTTTACAAAGAGACGCCTGGGTAGGAGGCAGAGAATAGATGGTTTGGAAACTCATTCGAGGGGTGGACCCCTCAACATTGACTCGGAATTTGCCATCTCCAGTCAATGTTGAGGGGTCCACCATTATCCCAGTGAGCAAGGTAAAGCTACTCGGCGTAACGATTAACAGCACCCTTACGTGGAATGATCATATCGAGGAAATAGTAAAGAATGCATCTCGCAAGCAGTATTTTCTTGTGCAGCTTAAGAGAGCGAAAGTCCCAGCAAGAGAAATAGTCGCCTATTACTGTGCATGTATCCGTTCTGCAATCGATTACGCATGCCCTGTATTCCACTACTCACTTCCAAAATATCTCCAAGAAGATCTGGAGAGGATCCAGAAAAGAGCACTAGCCTGCATTTACCCAGGAAGGCGTTACGAAGATGCCCTATCGCTCGCTGGCCTAGCATCTATACATGATCACCACGAATCTTTATCTAAATCACTCTTTAAGTCAATTGTAAGTGACTCTAAAAACAAACTGCATGCTCTACTACCGCAGAGAAATAACAATGCCAAATATTATTTTAGGAAACGTAGAACTTTTAATATTCCAACTGCAAAGACCAAACGCTATGCTCAGTCATTCATAATGCATAGTAGTAAGCTTTATGATGACATATAGTGAAATGGTGATTTCAATACTTGTATAAAGTTAGTAGTTTAACTGTACATAATCGTAAATTAAGATAAATTTTAGTATTCTTATGTATTATTATATCTATATTGAACGACTTTTATATAATTGTAAAGTTACGCAATTCAGTAGTACCTGCAATGTAACTATCATTTAATAAAACTATCTATCTATCTCATTATCTATGTTAGTCAACGTTTATTTATAAATCTGCTCCTTCACCGTCACGTGTGTAATGTATTTTTGCCCAACTAACCAATAGCAATATTTTAGGAAAATTACTTATCCGTGATTCGAATGAACAATACAGGAAATTGCAAATTGCTATTGGTGGACTTGGCAAAAATACAATACACACGTGACGGGGAAGGACCATATTTACGAAAAAGCGTTGACTAACATAGATAATGAGTTATATTGTTATTCTAATGAGTTTCCAAACCATCTATTCTATTAACTATGGTTGTATACACTATACAAGAATTTACGGATTGTCGGAAAATGTTGTTAATATATTCCGAAAATGTTTCATGCTGATACATTTCTAAAGGTCTAAAAGTATCAATGTAAAACAAATAATGAATGTTTATGAGTGCAATGGTAAGAATATTTTCATGAGGTGAAAGATGGAATGTTCCATTCAACGAGGCGACAGCCGAGTTGAATGGAATATTCCATCTTTCACTGAATGAAAATATTCTTACCATTGCACGAAGAAACATTCATTATTTGTTTTATATAATACCAAAATAGACTAATAGATTCGTATGAGAAGAATTTTGAGGGATGCGATTTATCGAAAACACAAAGAGTGCAATTGTACTATACGTTTTTTTCCATTGCACTCGCGGAGAGTGCAATGGGAACGTGTTCCATTGCACTCTTGGGAAATGGAATTTTCTATTCAATATCACGTGACCATAAACAGCCAATTAAACGATTAGAATTTAATAAGGTATTATATAAAATTAGTTATCGTTGAATTGAATATAATGGGGTTAAGATTAGAAACGGAATAATTGTCACTCATTTATTCTTGATTTTTTACTTTAATATTATTTTTTTCAAATTATGATTTCCTCGGTATCCACTTTTCTTTGTCCCTTCCGCCATAATTCCGTTATTTATTATTTTCGTTTTCTAGAAACAAAGGCATTCCACCGCTAGCCTGTCAAACAGATTCACCACGTAATATTACATAATGAGCATTCCTCGTCGGATATATTGTCGTCGTTTTTTGCTCGTAACATCAGCCAACAAAATAAATGAAAAATATATCTCAAACTTGTGAGTTGAACAAAGTAAAAGTAGCCTGCGAACAGGCACTCAAGGTGAAATGAGAGCCTGCACTGATGATATACAATTTTGAATATCTGCCTCGTAACGTTCGTTTCCCCAAATATGGAATGTCTATCCTTATATGGTGTTGTTTACAACTTTCGTGCAAACTAAATTTAGAGAGTGTATCTAAAAGTCGAGGGTCGAGAGTATAGGTCGAGAGTCGAGAGTAAAAGTCGAGAGTCAAGAGTAAAAGTCGAGAGTCGAAAGTAAAAAGTCGAGAGTCAATCGAGAGTAAAAAGTCGAGAGTTGGCAAATATCATCAGAAACAACAAAGTCAAAATATTTTTAACACAGTATATAACCGATCCGTAACAACGGATGATTATAGCCGTACGGGCGGGGGGGGGGGCAGTCCCGCCCCCAGTCAAAATAAAGTCATGCAAATTATAAACGTATAAATTCGGGCAAAAATTGGGGAAAATAAATTTAAAAAGAAGACAGTACATGCAATATGGTATTTGAAAATACCAGAAATATGTAAAAGTAAGGAGGAATCGACAAATAGGAAAATATTTTTGTCTACTCCCCAACGACAATTTTTGAAATTTAGTTACACGGAAAATTTTATTCAGTGGGTAAAAGTCGGGTAAATTTCTTTCTGGCTCCCTGATTTTTCCCGCCCGTACGCCTACGGTCTATGACGGCTGAACTAATTTCATTTCCTGTGTTTATCGGAACATAAAGCAAACAATATTTGCGAAACATAATTTAGTATGCTCAAATTCTCGAAATTAAAGTAAACAAGAGGCATATACAATCAAAGGAATAATCCAGTATAATATAAAACAAAAACTTTCGCAAACTAATTTAGCCACAACATTCAATAATAATAACTATTATCTAATAGCTAATTTTATCGCTTCCTTATATATTACTGTCCATCCTTCCCGCTTTTTATACATGCACCTATTTCCGCGAAAAATTACTCATATGTGAAGCTACCTATAATGAATACTAGGACTTTACAATCACGTGCGAGACATATTACCACCCGATAGAGTCACACATACGACAAAAGAATCCTATTTTTACTGGCTCGTATTTATGAATTATTATTATTATTATTATTATTTAAAAAAATATTTTAAAACGGTAGCTCTTCAGGGCTCGTAGGCACCTGTTTTTCAAGAGGCCGTTTATTACAGTATTTACAAGCTATATAAATATAATAACACAAATATACACACAAAAACAGAGAAAACATAACGAACTTAATAATTGCATGCACTGCATTTGTATCTAAAAATATCCTATCCTATTTAAATATTTACAAAGTTACCAAAAGGAATCACGTGCCGTCAAGAATACGTTTAAATTTGTTAAGGCTAATGCCTTTTTCTTTTGCTGTAGTTGATAAGTCATTCCAAAGGGATGCAGCTGAATAACTGAAGCTCTTTTTCATAAAATTTGTTTCAGGTTTTCCAAGATCATAGTTGTTATGGTTACTTCTTAAATCATATCTGTCATTTATTTTAATTTTGAACATGTTGCAAATTGATGATGGCATTTTTTCGTTTCGTATTCTGTGCATAAAAATCGATTTATTGGTTTTATAGCGTTGGTTTAAAGGTTGCCAGTCTAATTCTTTTAAAACATCCTCAGAACTAACTTCATAAGTTTTACCAGTGATGATTCGGGCCGCTCTGTTTTGTAATTTCTGAAGTCTGTTTTTTAAGTAATCACAACAGTTATCCCAAACCAAGCTACAGTAATCAAAATGTGATAACACAATGGCATTATATATTTTTACTAAGGTTGATTTGGGAACAAACTGTTTTATTCGTCGCATCATTCCTATTCCTTTTGAAGCTTTTGTGACAATATTTTGGATTTGATGATTCCATAAAAGATGTTCATCAATAATTACGCCTAAAGTTTTGATTTGTGAACCCGTTTAATGACTGATTCACCAAGCTCAATTTTAGGGTCCGTCAGTACTAAGTTTGAAATTCGTTGTCTTGAACCAATAATCATGTATTCAGTTTTATATTTGTTAAGTGTAAGTTTGTTTGCAAGTAACCATTGGTGTATATTTTCTAAGTCCACGTTAATGCGTTCTTGTAGTTCGTCATTTGTTTTGCCATTGGTTGAAACATTTGTGTCATCGGCAAACATGCTTGCTGAAGATGAGGTCAGGCAGTTTGGCAGGTCGTTTATGTATAATAAGAAATGAAATGGCCCAAGATTAGAACCTTGGGGTATTCCACATTTAACTGTTCTTGTCTTGGACATTGTTTGATCTACCTTACATATTTGAATCCTGCTAGAAAGATAGGACTGGAACCAAGCAAGCGTATGACCTCTTATTCCATAACAATGCATTTTTTTTAACAATATATTATGATCAATACAGTCAAACGCTTTCTTGAGATCCAAAAAAATCACTCCATTTAACAAACCCTTATCCATATTTATTAGCCATTGGTTCGTGATGTTAAGTAGAGAAGTTTGTGTAGAGTGATTTTTCCTAAATCCTGCTTGTTGTTCTGCAAGAATGTGATTAGTTTCAAGTTAAATTTCTAGTTGCTCTGTAACTAATTTCTCATATATTTTAGCAACTGAGGATAGAACCAAGATTGGTCTATAATTATCGCAATTAGTTTTGCTTCCAGCCTTATGAATTGGAGAAATGATAGCAATCTTGAAGTCTTCAGGAAATATACCAGTGTTTATAGATGCGTTAAAGATTGCTAACAGGGATGGTGCTATTACTTCAGCAGCGTCTCTTAGAAGTTTACCGGGTATTCTATCATGCCCTGCTGATTTGGATGTTTTAATTGTAGAGAGCAACTTATATACCTTAGTTAATGAAACATTTTGTATCGTAAATTGTGTATCGGACCTAGTCACGTATGACTCAAATGTTCTTGAGCTCTGTGGCATGTTATTAACCAAACGAGATGCAACTTCGTTGAAATGTGAATTTAAAGCATCTGCAATTTCATGTTTTTTAGTCAAATTTTGATTATCGTTCTGGATTTCAGATATAACAGTTGTTTTTGACTGTTTGTTTGTAAGTTTATTAATTGTTTTCCACATTTTCTTTGGGTTGTTATCACAGTCATTTAAAGTATTTGTAAAGTAAATTGCTTTTGTATTCTTAATTAATCTATTCAAATCACTACAGACGGTACCGTTTCGGCCTTATGGGCCTCATCAGTGTAGTGCTGATGAGCAGGATGAAAGTAACTGCTATTTACAGTTACCTTTGATGCCTCACGATTGTGGGACATCAAAACCATGCCAGAGCGCTCAAACTGCAAGCAGTGAGCGTGCGCAATGCGTAAGCAGCATGGCTCATCCTGTATATATATCTGTGTATATATATATATATATATATATATATATATATATATATATATATATATATATATATATATATATATTATATATATATATATATATATATATATATATATATAATAATTTAATATTTTAATACAATTTTTCAATTGAATAAGTTGCTACTTTAAGTTTCATGCCACAAGCAATCATCAGGCAACATATTAATACGGTTAAGTTGTTGCGTTTTACTACTCGCAATGTTTGCTGACGCGTGTTCGTTTGAATCGTCCCGCGTGGAATCTGCGCGCATGCACGCATTTCATGAAAATTTCGCTACGTTTATTTAAATTAGACCGTGAATTATAACTACGGAGTATTTGCAATTTCTCTTCTAAACATAAATTGCAACTATTTCCACCGGCTTTGATTGAACTTGCTCGGGATAAGATGGACCACTTGATATTAAATTGTTTTCTATTTAGTTTTAGTTTCCAAACATGTTTAGAAAGTTCAGTTTCATTCTCGTATTTAATATCATTGAATGATTTCTTGTGATTTCTGTATCTCTCCTTAAATGTTGTCGCTGTCATACCAATGTAGGTTTTTATATCGTTGTTGTCTTTTGTTTTTACCTCGGCTTGATAAACTAAATCTTTCGTCAAGCACATGTTGTTAAGCGGGCATTCGTTTACATTTCTGCAGTTACAAAGTTTTTCAATGTTGTTATCGTTGGTAGATTCTTCGGATTTAGATTCTCTCAATACGCTTTTGTTATGTCTCGATATGACGCTCTTTACATTATTCATGCAGGTATAGCTAACTTTGATCATGTTTCAGTTGAAGATCTTATGAAGGGGTGATGTTTTGGGAAAATGTTTGTCGATTAATTTCAAGAAATCTCGGGCGACATTGGTTCGTACGTTTTTACTATACGGCGGGTTGAACCAGATAATTCTTCTTGTGCGTTTATGTTTCTCGTTTTGCGATCGACTTTCGGTTGTAGACGTTGTTTCAGCAGCTGAGTATTGAAGTTTGGTGTTGTAATTACTCTGCTTCAGGGCGTAGTCGTAAGTGGAAGCAACAGAATCAAAGGTTTTTTTGTCGGATGATAATGATGCGATTCTGCGGTTGATTGCTGCTGGGAGTTGTTTGGTGATTGATGGTGGATGGTTGGATTCTTTGTGAATGTATAGTGGGTCGTTATTTGGTTTTCTGTAGGGCTTGTATGACTCATTAGTAAGATTAAGCGTAACATCGAGGAAGTTAACAGTTTTGTAGTTTACCTCGGCAGTGATCTTCAGTCCCAATTCCTGGAATGCAGAACACAGGTCTTTTCTTGCTTTATCTGCTAGTCGTGGACTGGTACCTTTGATCAAGGCTAATCCGTCATCTCTGTACAATCCGATGTTATTGCTGTCAAATCTCGCGCTTAGTTTGTTTAATGCATACAAACCAACAAGTTCGCAAATTTCCGCACCGTCAAAGCTGCCCATGGTGACGTCAAATGTTGTAGGACTGTTTCGTTTTATCCATGGTTTGGTGGAATTGAATAAAACGGATCTGCGGGCGTGTTTGATGATTGAAACATGTTCGTCAGTAATATTAACAATAGTTTTGGCCCAAGCGATGGCTTTATCGAGGAGTTCTTCACTGATGGAAGGGTAGTAGTCGACGATATCAAAAGAAACAAAGTTATACTGAGATTTGTGTTCGATGTCTTTGAACCAGTTGATTACAGATTGGGAATTTCTCCATTGGTTTGCGTTGGTGGTTGATCTGATTTCTTGATTGATGGAATCCAGTATAACTTTGCTGACTTTACCAAGTTCGCTTTTGGCTGGGTTGATTAATCGGCATTTGGGGTTCGATTCGAAGTTGTCCTTATGGTCTTTCAGCGTAATGAAAGCTTCAGTTTCGGCCATTACGTGGACTCGGTTACCAATATTCAAGTTGGAAGAAATTTCGCACAGTTCCTGGTTAATATCGTCGGTTATCCGGTCATGTGCTAGTTTATAAGATTTCGTTATGTTCTCAGTTAATATTTTGTTATATTCGGTTGGTGGAACTTCGTAGATGTTCTTTGTTTTGTCTGCAAATACGTACACGTTCTTTGAAGAATTCATATTTTTTAAATCATTTTTTATGTTGTTGAGGAATGGTTCGTTGATGTTTCGAAAAGTTACGTTCTGAACCAACTTCACAAGGTCGTCTTCAAAGGTTTTTAATTCACTCAGTGGTGGTGCATTATTGTTTGAAGGTAGTCCGTAATAGTTCTTTTCACTTCTTGTCTCGCCATTTAAGAAAAAATGGGCTTTCCATCTCATTCTTTGCGTGATACTTTCCACTTTTTGTATTAATCTTCTTCGGTACTGATTCTGCGTCGGCAATCCAATGTTCTTTAGCGAGTAGTTAAACCGTATCTTATTCATTTTGCGAATCGTAATTTATTCTTGTTACGAAGAGTGCACAACTGTCTCCAGGTGCTTTTCAATAATTTCATAAAGTAATTTCCCGTTTTTCAGAATAAAGAGTGCTCAATACAAGACAATTGTAGAGCATATTATAATAATTTAATATTTTAATACAATTTTTCAATTGAATAAGTTGCTACTTTAAGTTTCATGCCACAAGCAATCATCAGGCAACATATTAATACGGTTAAGTTGTTGCGTTTTACTACTCGCAATGTTTGCTGACGCGTGTTCGTTTGAATCGTCCCGCGTGGAATCTGCGCGCATGCACGCATTTCATGAAAATTTCGCTACGTTTATTTAAATTAGACCTAGAATTATAACTACGGAGTATTTGCAATTTCTCTTCTAAACATAAATTGCAACTATTTCCACCGGCTTTGATTGAACTTGCTCGGGATAAGATGGACCCCTTGATATTAAATTGTTTTCTATTTAGTTTTAGTTTCCAAACATGTTTAGAAAGTTCAGTTTCATTCTCGTATTTAATGTCATTGAATGATTTCTTGTGATTTCTGTATCTCTCCTTAAATGTTGTCGCTGTCATACCAATGTAGGTTTTTATATCGTTGTTGTCTTTCGTTTTTACCTCGGCTTGATAAACTAAATCTTTCGTCAAGCACATGTTGTTAAGCGGGCATTCGTTTACATTTCTGCAGTTACAAAGTTTTTCAATGTTGTTATCATTGGTAGATTCTTCGGATTTAGATTCTCTCAATACGCGTTTGTTATGTCTCGATATGACGCTCTTTACACTATTCATACAGCTATAGCTAACTTTGATCGTATTTCGGTTGAAGATCTTATGAAGGGGTGATGTTTTGGGAAAATGTTTGTCGATTAAATTCAAGAAATCTCGGGCGACATTGGTTCGTACGTTTTTACTATACGGCGGGTTGAACCAGATAATTCTTCTTGTGCGTTTATGTTTCTCGTTTTGCGATCGACTTTCGGTTGTAGACGTTGTTTCAGCAGCTGAGTATTGAAGTTTGGTGTTGTAATTACTCTGCTTCAGGTCGTAGTCGTAAGTGGAAGCAACAGAATCAAAGGTTTTTTTGTCGGATGATAATGACGCGATTCTGCGGTTGATTGCTGCTGGGAGTTGTTTGGTGATTGATGAAGGATGGTTGGATTCTTTGTGAATGTACAGTGGGTCGTTATTTGGTTTTCTGTAGGGCTTGTATGACTCATTAGTAAGATTAAGCGTAACATCGAGGAAGTTAACAGTTTTGTAGTTTACCTCGGCAGTGATCTTCAGTCCCAATTCCTGGAATGCAGAACACAGGTCTTTTCTTGCTTTATCTGCTAGTCGTGGACTGGTACCTTTGATCAAGGCTAATCCGTCATCTCTGTACAATCCGATGTTATTGCTGTCAAATCTCGCGCTTAGTTTGTTTAATGCATACAAACCAACAAGTTCGCAAATTTCCGCACCGTCAAAGCTCCCCATGGTGACGTCAAATGTTGTAGGACTGTTTCGTTTTATCCATGGTTAAAACATTGAAACATGTTCGATATATATATATGAATGTTGTGGTTTCCCACGTTTACGATTCCACTCGTGTAGCGTTATGTAGTGGTTTTTGAGTTGTTTTCATACGAGTGTATACCAAACCGGGCAAGCAGAAAATTCTACTTGACCGCGGCTGGGATTCGAACCCGCGACCTTCGTATTTCTAGAACGATGCTCTACCGTCTGAGCTACAAGGTCAAGCTGAGAACGACTTGTTAAGTTATGATGATTCATATATATATATACATATATATATATATATATATATATATATATATATATATATATATATATATATATATATATATATATATATATATATATATGTAGTGGTTTTTTGAGTTGTTTTCATACGAGTGTATACCAAACCGGGCAAGCAGAAAATTCTACTTGACCGCGGCTGGGATTCGAACCCGCGACCTTCGTATTTCTAGAACGATGCTCTACCGTCTGAGCTACAAGGTCAAGCTGAGAACGACTTGTTAAGTTATGATGTTAGCTGCATTTCGGAAGTTAGTCCTTCAATGCGTAAAGCCAGCTATTAGTCTGGCAATGTTGTATGTGAATGTTGTGGTTTCCCACGTTTACGATTCCACTCGTGTAGC